ATATAAATGATTATGGCTAACTGATTTCAACATTAAGCTTATATGCCATGTGTGATCATGGTCTTAACTTACATTAGTGGTGGATCCTTGAGGAGTAAATTTTTTATTTTAAAATATTTGTGGTGGATCAAAGGATTTTTTTATTATAGTTTTTTAAAAAAGAAGAATTGCTGTCCATCCAAGTGTTTACAGAAGATTCCCACTAATGCAGTTTTTTTCCATCAGGAAGCAGTTTTGGAAACTGGTCATTACTCAACAGAATCAGGAGATTTCAGTATTGTATACAAACAAAGATAAGACAGTGTCACTTTCACAAATTTAAGTCCCCTTTCGGTTGATTGTACTTTTTCTTAACAAATAAAAATCAGTATATCAAACACTCCTCTTCTCTTGGCAAGTCATTTGGTTGAGTTTTCTCTGGCAATAGGATTTGTTTATGACCCTCACTTTAATTAAAATGGCTCTACAAAAGCAGTTAAACAATGGATATATAGCAGTCAGTTTTGCATTGTTATGCCTGTAGATCTGCCTCATAAAAAATAATTTGAATTTGTATATGATTGAAGATAAAATGCTTCATAAAGTATATTCAGACATTGCATTCTTATCCAATTATTCCCATATCTGCTTATTTATTTATCCCATGGGATTAAAAATACCCAGTATTATGTACTTTGCAGGATTTTTAATCCTAAGAAGGGCAAATATGGGATTTTTAATCCTATGTCGCCTATTATGGGAGAAAAAATCCCTCAAAGATTTTTTTCTCCCATGGGATTTTGGTGGGATTTTTGGTGGGATGAAAAATCCCGCCATTCTCCCATGGGATTTTAGGTTTTGACAGAGGTTTATGAGAAAACTACTACAATGTGGAAGTTGAGATTGACATGATGAGGTCAGAATAAAAAATCCCACCAAAATATAGAAAAAAATCTAATGTAGGTCTTTTCGAAAGGGTACCTAAAAGTCCGGACTTTGTCGTGTCCGGACTTAAATGTCGCAGTGTTTATATCCTAAGTTTATATGTAGGTTTTTTTTTCAGAATAATATAATATTAACAATTTATATATAAAAAAGCAATAAATGTAAATCAGACTTTTCTTATTGTGTCCAACTGGGGTACAAAACGGGATATATAAGACACTTGAAAACAACTATAGTTTCACATCCTAATATGAAAGTAAAATAAAAGTTCATGACTAAGTCTATGATTTTAAAAAAAAGCAAAATAGTTGAAAAAGCAATATTAATACATTCATCGTTAGGAAAAAAATGTAGTTTATGTCTCATACAACTTTTTTGTAATATAGCCTTACATAGATGTCTTTTAATCTATTATTTCAAATATTTTATTGAGTAAAGGGGTACATGTGTGAATTTATGATGTTATATCCAAAATTAATGGTCACCTACTTTAGTCTGAAGACTTTACATTTCTTCAAGCGTATAGAGTAAAACAAGATAAAAAGTTATTTTTTCTTGTGCTTTTGCATTGCTCATGTTGCTTTTGAAATTCCCAGGCTCTCTGTAACGGGAATGATTAATTCTAGTATAGATTTTTGCTCAAATAATCATTTCAATGCTATCTATAAATATTACTTCGTTGAAGTCAAAAATAGATATATAAGACATAAATTCATCCAAAAATATATAGATTCATCTATATGCGATGTGGCATCAAAATCTAAACCTACCAAATGTCTCGTGCAGTTGGAAGAGACGGGTTTTTATTCAATTTATAAACAGTAAACTGTACAAAAGTATATGCACTCGCCATAACAGTCTCACCGTAAACACATTAAAACGAGTAAATGTAAAGAATTGCCATGAAGCAAATGGAAAAAAAAGCACTATTCAAGATTAAAGTTCAATAAACAATACAGAAGTGGAGCAGAACATATGTGATATGTGATCTGAAAAGAAAAAATTGTTGGACTACCTTGGCTTGTAGTACATAAAATGTGAAAGAAATATGATGATAACAAACCGCAATCAATCCCAAAAGTCATTTTAAAGGCGGAACATGTGCCACGGAGTAGTATATATCTTAAGTCGACCCGTTTCACCCGCCGCGTGCTTCATCGGGAATGCAAAAAAAAAATATTCTGAAATGCAAGGAGAAAATTGTTCTATCATGTATGCACATCTTATACATGTACATCCACTGTGAACTAGCTAGATATATTTACTTAAATCTACTGATAACGTTTGTCATATATATGAGTTTAGACAAAGTCTGAGTCCTGTTTCATGGAAAACATGCATCGGAAGGCCTCTTTTTTGTACGTTTTTTTTCTTTGGTAATAACTCCAAACATTATACTATCAGATAAAGGTCAATGTAAAGGGTAAATATTTTGTATTTGATTTATACTTGCACAAAAATAAAAGAGGACCAATAATTACGGATTCTATAAACAAACAAAAGTTATATGTTGTCAGTCAATGAAAATATTTTTTTCAGGCTTTATAATGGATGCTGTCCAAATGAGCGAAAGAATTTAGAAAAAGAGTTATGTCTCGGTTAGTATATGTTGTTAGATAGTAAAATTCTAACAATTACATGTAACATAAGATATTTTGTTTATATCATATTGTACTTTTTTTTTACGAAATTAATAATGATATTTCTGATTCCTTTTCATAAAAAAATGTAAAACACCATACCTTTTCCCCTTATACTACTGAAAATGTAAAATTATTGATAAAATGTCTTCCTCGCCGTTGAACAATTGAAAAAAAAAATAATTGAAAAAAAAATCAATTAGCTACTGTTCCTTAAGTGTAGCCAAAAATTACAATCATTTGGTCTTTATTACATTTAACAAACATTATAATTATTTCTTACAAATAATATTTTTAAATGCCAAAATATAGTATCACGAAACTAATAAGCTTGTGTTCAAGGACGAAACTGAGGATCCATATCAAAATATTTTTCCCACAACAAGGACATCTGTGACAGACCTCTTTGGAGATGGGATCAGGTGTCATGGAAGAGTTAGGGTCCCCTATTGACTAATCACCCCTCAGTATATTCCTTGTCATAATCGGAAAAAAGCCGAAAAAATATGTCGTCAATTCAGTGTATAAATAATGCTCTTACAAACGTCAGCATTTCTTTCAATGATAAATTGTTATTGCTGATAAATTAATTGTATCAGCAATATAATTTACATAATGATGAGTTTAAACGAGATTGTTGATATTCATGCTTCATCAACTTGCTTGTCAATAATTTACCTCGTTTTAGAAAATGTTCATACGTAGTGCATGCGCTTGCGTATCGAATGAACTGAGTTACACTGTATATACATTCAGTATGCAGGAGAGAAAGGGGTATTGCATGCGTAAGTTACGGACGTTAACAATAGAAAAATGATTTTCATCATGTGAATCATACGGCTTGGTTGTTAGATTGCCATTAACGTCTTTTTCAAGTAAAATATCCAAGTATGAAAGAGATGTGTCAGACCCTTTAATATCTTTTAAGTCAAGCTCACCAGGATATATCCTATCGACGTAGGAAGGTAAATTGCAGGTATAAAAGAAACGTCGCTATTGTGACGACAAATGACTCTGCTCTGACGTAGAAGGGCATAGATCCCCTAACTCCGAGTCGGTAATATTTTAGCCATATTTCGGCAGGAAAGTTTAAATACACTTGCATTCCAAATACAAATGTATATAAAACTGGAATATCTATTAGAAGTTTAGAGACAGGGATGTAAAAAATATGACGTAACAGATTACATGATTAAGAAAAACATAGTTACATGCAATTATCATGGTCATTAGGGTGATTAGAAATTTTAAAATCCTGTAGACATATTTTACTCTCGGAATGCTCATCAAAAATGAAATCAATCCAAGGTAACAATTTATTTTAGCGTTGTGTCTCTGAATTCTTATATTAACATTAAATCAAAACAAAGATACATGTACACACAAGTAAAAAGAAAGAAAAATAATTTAATGTATAAGGTGTCGAAGACACAGTTTGATCATTCTATTTAAGTGGCAAATTATTGATCAATTTACATTAATTTTTTTTTTCGTAAATTGTTTTTCCGCCATGTAAAATGGGCCCTTTTTAATAAAGTATGTTGAATGTATTTATTTCATTTTTAGGGTTCCAAAATTGGCTCTTTTCATATTAAGGCGTTTGCTTCGTTTTAAATTCGCCGGGTCCCAGTTTTGGTTATAAGAATTTAAATTGTTTTTTTGTGTTCCGCTTTGAATTCGCCCACTTGGGACAAGGGCGAAAGTGGCGAAAATAAAATGAGAACGAATACTTCCTTGTATATAGTATATTTCATTAATGAATAATTAAAATTAATGTTAAGGGGGCACATTTTCATATACAGGATGTTAAAAGATGGCATTTTTATTAGAAAATGATAACACGGTAGGTGACATCTATTACTCATACAATACTTTCAGAATGCTTGTTACATGTATAAATGAATCCAAGGATTATGTATACAATTTATTATAGCTTTCTGTCTCTGAATTCCTATACATAAATTAGATCAAAACAAAGATATACGCATGCCAATAGAATAAAATGTAATTCGATGTATAAGATGTCGGAATATAAGTTTAAGGTTCATGTACACAAAGCATTAAACAAAATATAGTAGAGATCAAATGTCTTTTTGCATTAAAACGAAAACCATTAAATGCAATGTTGTAAACACAAATGCAAAATTATTAAGAACAGTTTGTTTTAAATTAACCATTCAAAAATATAATGATATAAGTTCCTTCAATAAAAATTGTTAAAAATGTACATAAAGATAACATTAGACTTACTCAAGTCTCTCTGTTTTAGTGCTCTCTTTCATACTTTTTGATAATGTCAAACATAGATCTATGTTTGATAACATTTAACTATGACAGAGAGCAGGAGACAGCAATGCAAATAAGAAAAAAGAATTTGTAAAACTATTTATGAAAAATAAACAATAAAAACATAGAGACTTGAGCAAGTCTAAGATAACATATATATAAATTAATTTACATGACACTACAATAAGGAAACACTTTCACAAAAAGCTGCCATCTAAGCTCCCCAATTTATTATAGAAAAGTAAATTCGAGGACCCATGCTTAAATCAGAAAAAAATTCCTAAGCAAAAATATACTAAAAATGCCATAGATATAGAATTCCAAGAACGGATTATCTGGGGCACTCAAAAGTATATTATGTTTTCACAATTTCTTGTTTTCCCTTTTCACGTTGGGTCAGTACTTGAAGATCTATTTTGTAAAAGAACATCATGGATTTCATTTTCCGGATTTGCGATTCCATCACATTCTGTAATACGTTGCACTTTGAAGAAAAAAAGAATACATATACAATGTACAAGCATCAAAACGTTTTGTTTATTGTAGTTCTAATATAAACTAATTAATGGACAAATGCCATGTATTCAACTATATGAACAGATCATTGATTTAATTACCATAGATTTTTCCGTTTTCTTCATTCTTCTCAGCAAATTTTTTTTAGATGCATGGCAAGACCAAGATAAACCTACATTTTAAAAATGAGAGTTAAATGTACAATATTTACAAATACCATTTTAATGTTATTCTTGTTCTAATAATTATGATGTATATATAACACATTTTCGTCTAAAAGATTGATTAAAACATATCGACATATTAACCAAACTTACGTTTTCGGCAGCAGTATAACAGGATCAGTAACGTAAATACACTGCATAAAACCCCTATACTGATGAAAATTACAGACGGCATTGTAGTATTTTGTCTACAATAAAGCAAAGTTCATTACTTTTAAATAAATGTGAAAAATATCAAATTCACAAACTCTCTCTCTCTTTCTCTGTCTCTCTGTCTCGCTCTCTCTCTCTCTCATATATATATATATATATATATATATATATATATATATATATATATATATATATATATATATATATATATATATATATATATATATATATATATATATATAAACTCATCAAACGCACAATGAAGACTTAAAGATAAATGAATAAATGGAGACATGTCCTAAATTTGAGAATAAAAAAGTCTATCCTTTCTTTTTTGTCAGTCTGTCCCACATGGTTAAAAACACTTTTTTCCCTAAAAGCTTGCAGATAATGACCAGATTTATTGTAACTTGATGCGTTACAGATCAAGTTTGAATTTTGATTTGATATATTGATTTTTGAAGGATTCCTGATATCTTAATTTTTATAACACTATGTTTTATTTCTTTGTATCTGACATGAATATTATGTACCTGGTTTTATTCTTTTCATTGCTTTCTGAAGTAGTGGATTCAGTGGATTCAGTGGTTTCTGTCAAAGTTTTGAGTCGTCTTAAGGCGCACTTGACATGTCGTTTTGAACGTTCAAAAGTGTCACAGTCGATCTTGCCTGTTTCAGATTCATTTGATTTTGGAACTTGAGTAATTGGCTGATCATCTTGCAAACTGAATTTAATTGTTTTGTTTGCTTTCAAAGTTGATTGTACACAAGTGGGATCTAAAGGAGAAACCAAATACATGTAGCTAAATACTGCATGTCAGGTGTTGCATAAATTACAACAAAAAATTAATAAAACCAATGTATTTCAAATATTGATACCTGCTTCTATTTAAAAAAAATAGCTGTAGTTTGTAATTTCTTTACTGTTGAAATATAGTAGTATTACAGTTAGTTTAACCTAGAAGTACACCAAACGTTCTTACATTTGCATGTCTCATTTGTGAAGTAATTTAACGGGCATTCTGAACATAACACGTTATAGTCTTCTATTACTCTCCCTACTCCTTCATTGAATTGAGCACAACATCCACCTGAAAAAATGGTCATTATCTAGTTCACTGTTCAGCATGGTATGTAAAATTAAAAAAGGGCATCTTTTTTTCCGTTGACATTCTTGTTTTGCTTTTAAGCTATTTATATGAAAATATCTAGTTTTTGTTTTAGAGAACTTTTTAGCACATTTAAAAATATACAGGTTTTATCAAAATAATGTTATGTTCTTTGTTAAAATATTCATAGTTTATATATATATATATATATATATATATATATATATATATATATATATATATATATATATATATATATATATATATATATATATATATATATATATATATATATATATATATATTATTTCCGCAAGAGTGGAAATAAATGCTTCATTAAAGTTGCCGTAAAACTTGTAAAAATCCCAAAGAAATATTTACTAAAATATGTGACATTTAGAGCAACCAATGCCTGTTTTATAGACGAAAGAGAAGTTGGATTTCAATGATAAAAAAATATATAATGGGCATCAAAATTGGGTACCCTCATTGCCAACAAAAATTATAACAACTCATGTACTGTTCGCCCAATTTCAATGAATAATATTTTATGCTTTGTGATTGACTATAAGACACACAGCAAATTTGATAGACATCACATAGGGGGTATTTTACACTGTATTTAAGAAACGTTTGGCGGTAAAAAAGCTTGATACTCAAAGTTCACCCTATATTTTGAAAAATGAGTGAAAATCACAGCGTGTACGAAAGTCTTTACAATTATTTTAAAATATCAGTAATTGTAGTTATCCAGGTTTGTTTTGTTTTCAAACAGATATTGGAACATGAATCTATTGCTTAAAACCCTAAAAACAAAATTTACCATAAGATGTACTTGATAAAAACGGCGAATGTATGAAAAGTGCTTAGGTATGCAAGAGCACAAAGACAGATTTATATGCAATTTTCTAAAACATTAGTGGTAATGTCAGAATCGAATTCGGAGAGACAGTTTAATTTCTGGAAGAGTCTAGAAAGCATTTTTGGCCAAAAACTCAAAAGATTTTTTAGAGGAAGGACCCAGAATTGGGAATCCACTACATTGAATTTCTTCAAGACATCGTCCAAACTCGCATGCCCCGAACAGTAAAAGGGTTTTTCGGGATAAATAGAAAGTAAATGTTTTTTTCACATTAACAATTTTTGCAAGATCTTTGACCTTTTGAATTGTTTCAATTTCCAAACTTTGAAAAACCACCTTTTAGAAGGAAGAAACAAGTCCGGGAAATCATTGGAGCTGCCATTTTCAGTATATTGAGGGACATACCTAAATATGAGTTCTACAAACGATCAGAAATTGGATAAAAAATGCTACGGACATGCGTTTTACTTAAAAGACATTAAATCATAAAGAATAAATAATTGAAAATCGTCTTTTACTTCTTTCTGAGCACAGAGGACATCATTTATTGAACAACCCTCGTAAGCCTTTATCATCGCAATTAATGCAAAATGACATGCAAAATTTAGGAGCTTTTCAAATAAACATAATTATGCAAACTTTGTGGTATCAAAATCATTAAATGATGTTTTCACACATATCTTTCATTAAGCACTGTAAAGTGAAAATCGGTATTATTTAATTTCAATTTAAAGGTAAGAAACTCCACTACCGGGGTATTATTTCTCATTTTATTTTTTTTTCACATTTACATCTACAATGTCAAATATTTGTCTTGGTACAGGTCAACTAAAAATGATAACACTTAAATATTTTCCTATGCACATACGTTTAAGAAATATCACAATTTTTTAAATCATTTGACAAAAGTGTTTAAAATATGATCAATACTCTTAGCTCTCTGATTTTCCAAGATCTTGCATTGTGGAAAAAAAATCATGGTATGTTCACCTGCATGTGATCTTCCTGGTGAAAATTACGAACATTTACTTCTTGCTATGTTAGACGAAAAGTAGATCAGGAAAATTCAAACTGATTAAATTATTTAGGAAATATATTTAATTTGGACTCTATTAACACTCAGGTGAACAAATATTGTGATTACAATCATGTACATAAACAATCAAATCCAGGGTTTGGAGGGAGGGGGTATCATTACCGCTACATATTTTTTTTATCTACATTACCGTTATACTTAGTCATTACCGCTACAAAAAACGTTACATAACCGCTTCATATACAAGTATACATTACTGCTACATTGCATTAGGTTAGCGAGCCAATTATTAATCAAGGTATGTTTTGCAGCTGTCTTTGCTATTTTTTTGACACATATCAACAATTTTGAGTGTTTGAAAGTCTTATTTTTACCAAAATTATATCAACAGAAAAATTATCCGGCATTCCCACTATTTATCACATACTTCTCAAACAGTATTCCTCCTCTGCATTTTTTTTTCTGAATGTATATTTTCGCTGTTGACATTAGAATGCATGAATGATGCCCGGGAAGGGTGGTTGGTTGGTAGAAGAACTTGACAAGCAATTAGATAAATAATGTACGTGTGCATGTCAAATATACGGTACTTAATTTTCAGAACTTCCAAAACTTTGTAAAAAGATATAAATGTATGTATTTATTTCTATATATGTTTAATGACATATATATTCTTTAATATTTTTTGTGGTGGTGGTGGTGGTGTGAGTGAGGTTGTGTTTGTGTAAGAGGATGTTTGTGTGTGTGTGTGTGGGGGGGGGGGTTGGGGGTTACAACAATATTAACAAGTAATCGACCTTTTCAACACATAACAAAAAGGAGAGTGTCGGTTATACGTCTATTCAATTAATGTTGCATTGTTAGTGGGATTCTGTACCCTTATATGGTTTTGGTACTCCTATATGGTCCGAGTTTAATTTTCAGAGGGCCCTGTACTCCTATATGGTTGGAGTTTAATTTTAAGAGGCCCCTGTACTCCTATATGGTTGGAGTTTAATTTTAAGAGGCCCCTGTACTCCTATATGGTTGGAGTTTAATTTTAAGAGGCCCCTGTACTCATTATTGGTCAGACTTTAATTTTATGGGGGTCCTGCACTCCTTAATGGTCGGAGTTTAATTTTAAAAGGCCCCTGTACTCCTAATTGGTCAGAGTTTAATTCTTTGAGGGTCCTGTATTCTTATATGGTTGGAGTTTAATCTTAAGAGGCCCCTGTACTCCTATATGGTGGAAACAAATTATTAAATATGTTATTTACTTACATTTGAAAATATTAGTAAAAGAGCTACATTTAATTCCTGCAACATTATGTGGTCTGGATTTAATTTCATCTACGTCCAGTAATCCTGTTTGTGACTAAGATCAATGTTGAATTATACGGACCCTATTCCTGTACTTCTTATATGGTTGGCGTTTAATATTACCAGGATATTTCCAGAATACTACCAGGATCCTGTACCACTATATGGTTGGGGTTTAACTTTTGCTGGATCGTGTATTCCTATATGGTTGGAGTTTAATTTTAAGAGGGTCCTGTTTTCCTATATGGTTGAATTTTTATTTTCATAGGCCCCTGTACTCCTATATAATCGGAATTTAATTTTAAAAAGGCCCTGTTTTCCTATATGGTTGTACCCCTTTATGGTCAGATTGTAATTTTAAGAGGGCCCTGTACTCCTTTATGGTTGGAGTTTAATATTAACAGGATCCTACACCCCTACATATATGGTCGGGGTTTATTTTTGTAGGTCCTGCTCTCCATTAAGGTTGAAGTTTAATATATACATGATTGTTTCTGTACCCCTTTGTGGTCGGGGTTTAATATTAACAAGATCATTTACCTTTATATGGTTGGGGTTTAGTATTAACACTATCCTGTACACTTATATAGTTGGGATTTATTAATTAATATAAATATTAACAAGATCATTTCCCCTGTATTAGTTACATGGCTGGGGCTTATATTACATAACCCTTACCCCTAAGGGGTTCGGTTTTAATATTAACAGGATCTTCTACCCTATATGGTTGGGGTGAATATTAACAGGATCCTATACTGCTTTCTGGTCGGAGTTTATTTTAAGCACGTTTTTGTTTTCCTATAATCAAGATAATTTTGGAGTTTTATTTTAGCAAGATCAAACACCAATATATGGTTTGGGTTTTCATGTTTACAGGATACCACCTGTTAAGAGGTTAAGTTTAGCAGATTCCTGTACTTTAATATGGTCACAGATTAATTTTTATTTATTTATTCTTTTTTTTCAAGATTTCACTTCAATATGAATTTTAGTTTTAACAGGATCTTGACACCCAACATAGTTGAGATTATTCTTCAAAATTGTTTGTTCTCCCATCTTTTTTTGCAAATTCTTCTATAGTCATATTTGTATTTTTCCATGATGTATATTAATATTCTTATAAAGGATATATTCAAATACGGTCATATGTTACTTTTGTACATATCTGATTAATTTGTATGGCATTACAATAATGTCCATTTACAATAAACATTATGTTTTGATTTTGCAAAAAAAACAGAGCAGAATAGACTCATTTGTGGAGGAAAAAAAATATTTGAAGAAGGTGAAAGACGATAGTATAAAATACTTTATTTAAATTGATAATGTAATTCTTTCTCAAATATGCTGGAGTTATCGATCTTGTGATATACTCTAGCTTAATTTCAAAAGCATATTCTTATATGGTAAGTTATGTGAATGCCGCAAGATAGAACCAATTGAATCGTTTTGCGGGAAACTGAAGGTGCACAAATATGGAACCTGAGCAGTAATATTTGATTAAGTATAAGTATATTTGATATATATATTTACTCTTTTTTAGTAAACACCATTCAATAGGATAACAAAAAAATTGAGCTGCTATTTTCCGGAGCAAGCGATCTCGGATGAACTCTTACTCAGACCTGGTAAATTGTTTTGTTTTCCAACTAGACAGTCCATAGTCGTGTAATGGGAATGGCTAATCAGAACAAAGAGTTTGGTTCACTTTATACATAAAATGGCCTTGCCCTTATATTAATTGATAAACAATCACCCTTTTTCCCATTTCATAAAAAAATGTAGAGACTTTGCGCTTTCA